CATGTTGAGAATAAGTATGGGAAACAGTTGACCAGATTTTTGCTGCAGTGTCCAACATCCAATAGCCACTAGAGATCTAAGGTTGCATGGAATTAATAAGCCAAGATATTGATCTAAGGTTGCATGGAATTAATAAGCCAAGATATCACCAAGGAATTTTCAGAATCCCACTTGTCATAGGTTGGAATAGTTATTTCAGGCTGTGCTTTAGTTCTAGTGACGTATCCCTGTACGTCCCTGAGCTTTAATAAATAACAAACATGACCTTGACCAAGCAAGGTAATTAGTACCATCAAGCCTAACTGGACTAATTTGCAAAGAAGGATTGTCCAAAGAAGCACCCAACTTTGTTTCAATAGTTTCAATTTTTTCAACGAGTTTAGTCCCATCAACCATGACTGAATAATTGTTGAAAGAAAAACTAGTTGTTGGCAGAGAGACAGTAACACGAATAAATACCAAGACATAGATTAGCAGAGAAACATGTCATGAATAAGGCTGGGGTGAAGTCGCCAGAGCAGGACAAGTCTGCTGGAGTAAGTCCGGTTGAGATAGGCTGCCGGAAAGTGACTCGCGCCGATGCATGGTAGAGATGCTGAATCTATAATTGGCACATGAACCCACAAAGTAGTGCTACTTTCTCCCTGTTTAGAATGGGGATTGGCCAACTATGAATATATCTTACTTTAGGGTAAGAGTAAGAACATCTATTAGAAGGGCAACTGATCTGCGACTAAGAGAAAGAGAGAAAGAGTTTAGGACCTTACTAATTATCCGAGTAAAATTAGAGTTTCTCGGACAGTCATTGGACTCTGGGGAATGGGTAGCCAGCAGCTGGTCTTCCTTCCAGGGGTGGCAATGTACTTCTACTCCACCCTGAAAACCTCTAATAGGTTAATATCAATCCCTGCCCTGAGAGCTATGTTTACACAATTTTCGATCCCGCTCTGACACCAAGTGGAGTTTAGGAACAGATTTGGGAAAATATTGTTTCTGTATTTGTATTTTCAATGTAATTAATACATCCTATTTATACACAATCATCAAACTCTAATTAGGAAAAACTAATCTAATTTTAAATAGGAAAAAACAAATGAGGCAAGAATGATTTTCTCCTAAATAGTCAATTTTAAATAGGAAAAAACAAATGAGGCAAGAATGATTTTCTCCTAAATAGTCTATATGCACGTCAACATCCCTATTTTTTAATGCCATTAATACTTTGGTCCTCCTTTTATGATTTCCGTAACAGTTTGGTGTCTCTGTTTTGGATGGAAAGATCAAATTGATGTTTTACTTGGGTTGTTTAAATGACAAATAGATTAAGGACTAATAAGTAAAAAGAAAAGAGAAGAAGTGTGATTTTACCAAGCTAAAGTGTACTTGTTTATATATATATATATAAAGTTTGTTATGTATCGTAGTTGGAAAGTTGTCCTTAATTATTGATAATTAACATTTATTGAACATGAATTTAAATGATCGGTAAATGTTCATGGTATTGTTTTATGCGATATGGGTATATATATATATATATATAATATAAAATATAGAAAGTAATAATGTTAAACATACTTGATTATGCTTTAAATTAGTTTCTAAGTAATAATGTTAAACATACTTTGATTATGGTTTAAATTAGTTTCTAAACTAAATGTTCAGTTTATTAGTTTACAATTTTAGTTCGAATTTATTCATTTAACAGAGATGTAAATTGTTATTTAATTTTTAGTATGGGAAAAAAATATTATGCCTTTATTAAATTATTGTATGAACATGAGATGACTTGTGTTAAGAGTGAACTGATCCTCCCTTTTTAAAATAAATAAACAAGGGAGATACACTGCTAGTCTATGGGTGTGGTCCAAAATATTAAGTTTTTAAGAGAAAAAAAAACTTTGAAGGATCAAATTAGTTAATTGAATAGGTTTTTTGAAATTAACATTTAGTTTTTCCAAGCAATTATGCTAATTTAAATCAAATATTAGGTCTAGAGGGTTAGGGGAATAGGTGTGACCGTAAGTCACGCACACATATATTGATGCAATAAAGCCAATTTGGCCATGAACTTGTTTAGTGGGATTAAAAAGTTTAAATTTGACCCTTTCAATAAAATGATAAAAGATCACATTTAATAGTTTGGGTTAATTTAGCCCCTGATTTTGTACTTAGAGTGTGAGAATCATTGTATAAATATTTATTAAAACTATAGTTGGCATCGGGCTCTTTAATTTATTAAAAAAATTAATTAAATATGGAACAGAGAAAATTAATACATGTAGTATATTATATCCTTCTTTATCTTGACTGATAATTGAGTGAAAATGATATAAAATAGAGGAACATGATACATGAAGTACATCGTATTCCTTATAAATATGTATTGATTTGAACATTCTAAAATTGACCTTTATTACTGGTTATTGCATATGAAATCTTTTTATTGCATATGAAATAGTCACACTTGATCGCCTTTAAGAGTGGGGGTAACTAGAGCCAAATATACTTCGTACTTACTCCAAGGATAAGGTTATGTGTAAAGATTGAAAAATTAGACTAGGAGAAACCTTAACAGCTTAATATGGAATAGTGATATTAGATGTAAAGAGCAGAGCAATATGAAAAAGGAGAAGTGTTGAAGAGAACTAAGAATCAAGTGGTGGACACTGAAAAAACAAATTGTTTTTAAGGACAAGCTATTGAAGGAGAATGTATGAAACTTAGAAGCTAATGTGGAGGACCTATGGAAAGAAATGGCAGGTTGCATTATGAAAGTGGCAAGCGAAGTGCTTGGTGTGTCTAAAGGATTAGTGAAAGAGATGTGAACAGTCATCAAAGCAAAACGAGAGTAGTTGTGAAAGCACCTAATGAGGAGGACTTTGAATCAAAGCAAAACGAGAGTAGTTGTGAAAGCACCTAATGAGGAGGACTTTGAAGAAAAGTAAGCGAAAAGAGAAGCTAAAAAAACAGTCAGCAAAGCTAGAGGTAAAGCATTTGCAGACTTATATCAAAAGCTAGGAACAAGAGGGGGAGAAAGATACGTACAAGCTCATAAGACTAAGAGAGAAAAGGGTTAAGGCTTGAGCCAAGTTAAGTGCATTAAAGATGATTCTCGTCGGGGGTTAACATGAGATAAAGAGATGAAAGAGTGCTGGAGGTGATATTTCGACCAGTCATTCAACAAAAGCCATGAGTACTTTACGGACCTTCATGTACTGATCGAAACCTTAGGTACCTCGTAGAATTAGGCATAATAAGGTCAAGAAGGCTTTGAAACATACGAATGTTTGAAACATACGTGGTCTAGATAGTATTTCTACATCTGGAAGAGTCTTGGGAAAGTTAGAGTGGCTTCGTTAACAAAGTTATTCAAAGCCATGCTTAGAGGTAGAAAGATGTTGAATGAGTGGAGAAATAACACTTTGATACTGATATATAAGAAAAAGAGAGACATTAAAGCTTTATAACTACTGTGGTATTAAACTTACGAGTCATATAATGAACTTTGAGACATTAAAGCTTTATAACTACTGTGGTATTAAACTTACGAGTCATATAATGAACTTTGGGAAAGAGTAATACAACATAGATTGAGGGACATTACTAATGTATCAAAGAAACAATTTTGATTTATGTCTGGTAGATCTACAACATAGGATATTTTCCTACTAAGAAGAGTGATGGAAATGTATTGGGAAAAGAAGAAGGATCTGCACATGGTATTCATTAACCTAGAGAACGCTTATGACAGAGTGTCGAGGGAAGTATTTTAGTGGGTATTAGAGAAGAAAGTTCATACCAAGTATATAAAACCATTGGAAATATGTATGAAAATGCAGTCACCGGTGTCAGAAAAGTCGGAGCAAAGGAGTTCCCCGTAATAGTTGGGCTTCATCGAGGATCTATTTTGAGCCCATACTTATTTACCCTCGTAATGGATGAGTTAACAAGTAATATACAAGAGGATGTTTCTTAGTACATGCTATTTGCATATGATATTGTCCTATTTGATGAAACTAGTGAGAGAGTGAACCAAAAGTGGGAACTATGGAGAACTCTTGAGGATAAGGGTTTTAGGCTAAGTAGAAGTAAGAGAGAATACATATACTGCGAGTTTGGTTTAAGAAAAGTAGGAAAGTGAGGTTAGATTAGATGGTATGCTAGTGCTCAAGTGCAACTAATTCAGATGAATGTTTTGGCACATAAAGTTGGATGAGATTAAAATTGATCACATTAGACAAAAGGCTGCAAGTAGGTAGAATTTGGAGATAAAATAAGAAAAGAGAATGACGCCTGCAGATGGTATGGTCATGTTATTATGCTGACCCAATCACACGCCTGAGATGGTATGGTCATGTATTATGCTGACCATCACATGCCTCAATTCTCAAATGTGATACTTTAGTAGTTGAGGGTACTAAAAAGAGAAGAGGTCGACCTAAAACTTGCTTGGAGGGAAATTGTCACTAAAAATCTATGGTCTTTCGATATTAGTGAGGATATAGCTACAAACAAAATATAATGGAGGCGAAAGATACATGTAGCAAACCCTAGTTAATTGTTGTCTAATTTATGCTTTGTTCTATTTATTAATATATTAAATGATTCTAAAATTCTTGTTCAAAATCTTTTACAAAAAGTATTTAAAAATTTTTTTTCCGAACAATATTTTGCTTTGTATTATTTTTGACAAGATCGGAGTGAATATTTGAAACAAAGGATTCATATAGTCTATCCCAACTAGTTTGGGCCTAAGGTTTGGTGGTGGTTGTGGAATAAATTAAAGTTATACTACAAGTTCAAAAGCTAAATTTGCCTAAAGAGTCAAATCTAACCTTTCTAATCATTTTCAGTAAGTTTAGGGCTAAATTGGCCTAGAAGATCAAATATGACCTTTTTTATTCTGCTAAACAAATTTAAAGGCTAAATTGGCCTTTATTCCTATTTTATTTTGTAAGGTGATTTTTCATGCCCATCTTAATACTCTTCCTCTTATGCAGATTAAGCTTGACATCCCAGATGAGTTTCTCATTTCAATATCGGGCTCTTATAGTAGTGCAAACTCTAGTTCTACCATAATTGAATCACTCACATTCCAGAGCAATAAAAAGATATATGGACCATTTGGTACTGGAAGTGGAAACAAGGAATTCTCATTATCATCAATATCATATGGTAAAATAATTGGATTTCATGGAACATGCAGTGATTATCTACACTCCATTGGAGTGTATTTGAAGCCAATTCCTATGTCATATCAACTTGAAACTTGTAAACCATGTGGAGGACAAGATGGAAATGTATGGGATGATGGATTTCACACAACAATGGGATGATGGATTTTCACACAACCAATAAGATTTGAAGCCAATTCCTATGTCATATCAACTTGAAACTTGTAAACCATGTGGAGGACAAGATGGAAATGTATGGGATGATGGATTTCACACAACAATAAGGCAATTGATAGTAGGGGTTGGATCTATAGTTCATTCATTACAAGTTGAGTATGATAAGCATGGGCGCTCTATGTGGTGTGGAAGGCGTGGTTATAGCATTGGAGGCAATAAATACATGGTAAGTCCATTATGACTTCATTTGTTCTTTTCTTTTTAGGAAATAAATATGCTAATTTATTGCTCAAAATTTTATTTTTTTGATCTTAGGTCTATTAAATTTGTTTTTGTTATTTTTCCACTATAGCAAGGTGCATGTTGATTTACTATGAAATTAGCCAAAAAAAAAAAAAAAAAATCCTCTTGTTTTAAATACTTGCAAGAATCAAGATGATTACTTGCAAGAATCAAGATGATTATTAAACAATTTCAATTCTAGAAAAGAAATTTTATTAAAGTTTTACTAAATTTGTATAAAAGAGGTAAAGGGTGATTAGGAAGACAGAAATGTGATAAGAAAGAGAAAAATGAAGTAATTAAATAGAGATAACTAGTAACAAGGGTGAAGTATAAAAAATGATTAACACTTGCTTACTTTCTTTAAAACGACTAATGAAATGGTAATTTTTAATTCGAGTAAATTATACCAACCAGTCACCTAATTTTGCACTTAATTTCATTAAGGTCACACACTTTCAATTTGTCATTTTTAATTAGTCAACTTTAATTTAATTTTTATTTATTAGGAGTTCGTGCACCGGAATCCTGTAGTTGGAATGGTAATATGATACTAAAAATTATATGTTTCAAAAAAAAAATCATGATTACGAAGGAATGTAAGAAAAGAAAAAGAAATGTTACAAAATACATTTTTTCTTTTTTTAACTTTTTTTTTTCTTTTCTTTGGTAACCTTTTAACGTAAATGGCATTATTATTTTTTTTCTTAAAAGGCATATAAGAGTGTTTTTTTTTTCCTTTTTTCTTTTTGAAACTTATTTCATGAAAACAACATTATTTGTTAAGAAATTGATAAGTAGACACCAAATTAATGTATTATGAAAAACAACATTATTTGTTAAGAAATTGATAAGTAGACACCAAATTAATGTATTATGACAAGATATGATTTTTTAAATGAAATATTTTTTTAGTACCATATTATTACTTTTTCTAACCAAATTCTGGTGAGTGATGTCCTGTTGAAATAAAAATCATAGATTTAAAAAGAAAAAAAGACAAGTTAAAGTTATATGATCTTACAAAATTAACTGTAAAGTTAAGTTACGTTGACTACTAGTTTAATCTACCAAAAAATTTTCTAAAGTGAAACTAAAGTGCAGCAAAGGAAGTAATGCTAGAAATAGGAGTCACCAACAAATACAAAACAAATTTTTTATGTTGAAATATATAAAGAGTTTTAGTGTAATTGTTAATATTGTTTAAGGAATATATTTAGGAATTTTCATATGTAACTTGTAAACATGTTGCATTCATTTGCTCCAAGTCGATACATATTCTCCCATTACTTGCTCTCTGACTCCTTAGATATTCCTATTCTAAATTCTATTTCCTATTGTATTAGGTAGTCCCCAACATACATACACACACACACACACACACGTATATACATATATAATGTCCTCTTGATCAATCAAGAAAACACAATTTTCTTTCATCATATTTATTTTTAACTTGGTATCAGAGCCATGAATTTTTTTTCTCAGACTACAAGTCAAACTTCCATCAATCTTATTCATGCACCTTTGCCTTCTTCAACATCCTTTGACATCCTTTGTGAGGGCCAAGTCATTCCTTTCTATAAAACAAATACCAACAATTATATAGCATGGAAGAGATGTAGTTTATTCCATTGCTCATTATCAAGAACGGCATGGCTATTATTGATGGTTTCAATGATCCCTCGACCAAAAAACCATTCCTATTAACTATGGATGTGACTCAGTACATTCCTAACCTTCCTGTGCAGACATGGTTTAAGAAAGATGAGATGCTTGATGCTTGGTTATTAACTTCTTTAACTGAGGAAATCTCTTCTAATTGTTATGATCAATGTTATTGATCTCTTTTCCGCATCTGAAATTTGGCAAGCCTCAGCAAATGCTTTTGGATCTGTTTCTCAAAATCATAAACTTGAAATCCATATTTTTCTTCATGAATTAAAGAAAAATGATCTTATAACCTATTAATATTTGCGGCGTGCTAAGGCACTCGCGGATGAATTGGGTGTTGTTGGTTGACCTCTATCTCCTGCCGAATTTTATGCTTAATTTATTGAAATATTGGGAGTGAATTTCATAGTATTATCACCATCTTAAATTTGCAACTTGACCCAGTTTCCTTTCATGAGCTGGATGGTCCGTAGTTGCACATGAAATATAGATTAAAAGCTTGCTTGAACCTTTCATGGCCAATACAGTGACAGCAGCTCCTTGTGCGCCTCAATTCATGCAATACAGTGACAGCAGCTCCTTGTGCGCCTCAATTCATGCCTTTGGCATGCTTAGGCAGACAACTCCTCATCGTCCTTCTTTTGGCTCAAGTCCCTCATCACTAGATGCTCCTAATTTTAACCGTGTAGCCAATGCTAGATCTGTGGTTGGTGAAACCATATGACTATTACATGCCATTGACGGTATTCCCTTCGTCCTACCTACACGCTTCAAGCAAATTTACAGATTCACTTTGTAATGCTTCTTATGCGATTATCCCTCTAATTTTACTCCATATCATTATGTGCCTGCTACTCCAAGGTTTCCATATACTGCTACTAGCTTCCATGTGACACCAGATCTCTTAGCCATGTGTGCACCACTCCAAAGCAAGGTAAGATCAACTCCATGTTGGCAATGGACAAAAGTTGCACATAGCTCATATTGGTAATGCCTCTATTACTTCTTTAAATGGTTCTTTGGCACTCAATAATATTCTTCATGTTCTCTCCACAACTTAAAGCCTTTTATCTGTTCAAAAGTTAAGCCTTTTATCTGTTCAAAAGTTCACCTTTGGTAATTCTGTGTATTTTGAATTTTCGCCTACTCGCTTTTTTTATGAATTAGGTTACCAAGGATTTTTTGATCAAGGGCCAAACTGATGGAGTTTATGTTGCCCCTTCATCTACCAAACAAGCTTTGGTGTCGCCAATTCCTATGATAGACAGTTAACATGTTCGATTAGGCCATCCCAGTGCCCGTGTTCTTTCTCATGTTCTTAAAGAGTTCAATTTATTGTCTTCTTCTTCAAATTTACTTCCATGTTCTTCTTATTCTTTAGGAAAGTTAACTTGGGATTCCTCGTGTCCATTGAATATAAGAGCATTGTTCCTTTTGATATTATTCATTCAGATGTTTGGGGTCTTGTCCTATTTTATCTAATTTAGGTTTTCATTATACGATTTTGTTTATTGATTATTTCACTCGATTTACATAGGTTTCTTTCCAAAAAATAATAGTGAAGTGAATTCTATTTTCTTGAATTTTCTAGGAACCTTGTTAAAAGGCAATAGGCTTCCATTTCAGATTGCGGAGATGAATATCAAAAATTGAACAAAAATTGAACAAGTATTTTCAATCTATTTGATTTGTAAATTGCATTGCATGCCTTTATACTCTTGGGCAAAATGGAGTTGTTGAATGAAAATTAGGCATGTTTATAAAAGTTTAACTTTACTTGCTCATGCTCAGTTACGTTTAGTGTTTTAGAGTTATGCCTTTGAAATTAGTGTCTTGTTAATAATTTGCTATATCATATCTCATATAAAGATCTCCATATTTTCTGTTGTTTGGAAAATTTCCATCCTTTTTAGAAATTAAACCTTTTGGGGGTGGTGTATCATTTACTTCATCCTTATAATACTCATAATTTTCACTTTCGTCCTACTCATGTTTACTTGGTCCTGTCCTTCTCACTCTACTTTCCGATCTTTAGATGAGCAAACTAACGGTGCTTATCTTGCATGGCATGTCAAGTTTCATGAAAAGGATTTTCCATGCCTAGTGTTGGTCAAGCCATCTTCTACCCTTTCGCCATCATCCACTACACTTGTCTGCATATTTAGCATACACTCCTTGCACATTTGCATGCTAAACACTTTAGGTATATCCTCTTCCCTTCCCACTATTATTGGACTAACTACTCCCTTATCCACCTTCGCCAATTTGCCTTCTCCTGTCAATCTTGTTGTTGACTTTACAAAGTACTCTAGACCTCCATTTTCTCATACAACCCCTAAATTACCTTCTTGCATACACCATCTGCAATTTCACCTATCTATTTTTACCTAACGTGAGGCTCATGCTCTATCTCGTCTAATTGACTACCTTCAGATTGAGCCAACCTAACGTGAGGCTCATGCTCTATCTCGTCTAATTGACTACCTTCAGATTGAGCCAACTACCTCTAAACAAGCTTCTCCTATCCAGAGTGGCAAAGAGCAATGCAAGTTGAATATGATGTACTCGTTGCTAACTAGACATGGAGCTTGGTTCCAAGGCCAATTGACAAGAATGTAACTGATAACAAATAGGTCTTTTACATTAAAAGGAATGCTTGATGGTTCCAATTAGTGCTACAAAGCTCAATTAGTTGCAAAGGGTTTTGCTCAACAAGTCTGGTATTTATTATGATAAAACCTTCACTCTTGTAATGACAATGACCACAATTTACATTGTTCTTGCCTTGGCCACTAAGAATAATTGGCCATAGCGCCATTTTGATATTTCTAAATCTTTTATGTATGGTTCTCTGGACAACAAAATTTTTATGTATGGTTCTCTGGACAACAAAATTTTTCTGAAACAACTGGAAGGAATTCTCAATTCTAATCATCCAAATTATGTTTATATGTTAAATAAATCTTTATATGGTCTCAAACAAGCATCTCAAACAAGCATCTAAGGCTTTTCGTTTCGTCGCCCTTTCTACCTTCTTTTATATAGGATTTTGGTTACATTTTCGTTTATGTTGATGATATTCTTTGCAGTTCCCGTTTATGTTGATGATATTCTTTGCAAGTTCAGATATTGCAAAATTTGGTTGGTTTCTCCTAGATCCTTAGTGTGCTTTCCCAGTTCATGACCTTGGGTCATCGCAATACTTTCTAGGGATTAAAATGCATCAAACTCATAAATGGTTTAATTCTTACTCAGCGCAGTCGATGCATGTTGAATAATAGAAAAACAACGAGCTTATGGTGATCTTGAAGAGATAGACCTAAAAGAAGATTCAAGGCTAATTAACAGGATCCAAACATGTGGGTCTTAAGTCTTTTAATTAGTTTTATATTTTAATTAGCGTGATTGGGCTTATTTAAATTGGGCTTTATGTTATTTAATTTTTAGGGTTTCTTAGCTTTGTATACGTTTTATTTCAAGAGAGGCGGATTCTCTTTGATTTTTCATTGAATTTGTTTTTGAACTTATCAAAGACAATTAATCTTTGTAGCGTTTATCTTTTCACCTTGATATCTTTGATTCATACTTCTAGTTGAGTATTGGGTCAAGATTCGCAATTCTATCCAATAAGAAATCCCTAATTCGGAGATTAGGGTTCCTAAAGATTTAGGGTTTCCTAATTTGGGAATTTAGGGTTTTATATGAAAATCTAATTTTGGGGTGTGGAAAACGCTTTTTCTTCAGGGTTTTCCGCATCAGCAGTTTAATATCCTGAGATCTGCTTTTAGTTGCATTTGAATGCATCAAACTGTGTTCTGCATCCATCGTAACTAAGTTCAAATTTTTTGTAAGAACAATGGGTGCTGCTTTATGACAAACTGCAAGCAATATGGACAGATTCTAGCTCCCTCAGTAATGTTACATTGACCTAGCCTATGTAGCCTTTAATAAGTTGTCCTTAACTATGCACTCTCCTATTGGATGAACATTGGAAGAAGATATTACAACCTCTCGCATTAACTTTATGGTATAATGTATTAATGGTTTGTTCTTTTCCCAAGCATGGATTATTCTTTTTACATGTCCTTTTCTGAGAGTGATTGGGGTGGATGTAACTGAGAAGTTGATCCACTAATGGCTATGCCTACCGTTCTTCGTTTGCAATCTTATTTCTTTGCAACTCTAAGAAGCAACCCACCATGCATAACTATCACCCAACGGAGAGTGAATACAAATCAATTGCTAATTATGTGGGCTTCAAATCTCCTTAACTGAGCTTGGGTTTTCTTTATCTATGTCAGCCCACTCGATGGTGGTGATAATATGAGTGCTATTTTACTTGTCTTCCAAGCGCATTTTCCAATGCTTGCACGCAAACTTTGAGCTTGCATTAACCATGTTGTCTGTGGACAGGTTCAACCTTCAATGTTCTCAGTTTGGCATTTTATCTGGTGATAATTAAATAGGCTGAAAATTTTCCTAAACTGCTTGAAAAGCAGCAGTTGTTTTTGAAATTCATTGCGACGAGCTTTCAATTGTCCTTGCCCCATCTTCAGCTTGGAAGGTGGGGTGTTAAGGAATATAATTTTTGAATATATTTCTCTGTTATGATTAATTTTCCACATATGTTAATCTTGAGAATATATACTCTTCATTACTTTGCTCTCCACTCCTTAAATATTCCTATTCGAGAATACGATTTCTTATTGGATTAAGTTCATCTATCTCCTTTTATAATATCTTCTCTATGCCATGTCTTTCTTGACCAATCAATGAAACAGCAAACTAAATGTTTCATAATATTTCATTTCTAACAAATACATTGACAATTTGGTTTGTAGTTTTTTTAGACATAAGCATGAAAAACTTATATAATGAATGTGTGAATAAGCATAACATTAATTACACCTTCTGGCCCGAAAAGCTTATTAATTGATCATAGCCTGTAAAATAAGTTCTTACCTTTATTGTCATGAGAGTTTTGTTATATATATGGTTTTGAACTTCAGGTCCAAACTTGACTATCCTCGAGAATATCTGGTTTCAAAATCTCAGGAACATTATGATTCAGATGAAATAATTTCTTCTTAATATTTGGCTCGCTTTACATTCAAAAGCAATGCGAAATACATATGGAACCGTTTGGTAGTACAAGAGGAATGTCCCTTTCTCACACCAATCTTTCATAATGGCAAGATATATGGACTCCATGGACAGGCTTTACCGCTAAGCCTCCATTCCAATAGGGGTACATGTAAAACCATATTAGCCAAATTATTCTTGGCCCGTTGGGGCCATTATGGAGATCCATGGGGAGGATAAATCTTACAGCGCACGCTGAGCAGATACAACTAATACAGTTTGTGAAATTTGGAATTGAGTCTATTCGTTTTTTCAGTTTGACAGAAATGGGTCCTTCCGCGTGGGTCTAAAAAGGCATGGGATCAAAAGCTAGAAAGGCAAGTTGGAAAAGGTCAGTTCTTTCTCCTTTATTTAAGGTGTAAATTATATCATTTTTGTCCTTGAACTTTTTTATTTTTTTGTTTTTGCGTTCTGAAACAAAATGTTTTTAAGCAACAATTGCATTTTTTGTGAGGAAACTTTTTTGATTGAATAGCAGCAAGCTCAAGTCTTTCGATACATATGCAAATCTCCACTGGCACACAAACAAAATATAATACATTCATGTATAATCCCGCATTGTTTGTTGGAAATTCTGAATAGTATTTTTTGTTGCATTTTTTTCTACTCAGCAGTTGAAAGTAAATCAAAATTAAAAACTCTTTGCAGGTCATATTGATTACCCGAGAGTGATTTCTTGATTTTCAGTCCAGGAACATAATGGCGAAGGAGCACAATTTAAACAAATGTTCAGTCAATACATTCCAAAGCATAAAAAGTCTTATGGACCATTTTTTGTTTTTTTTGTTTTTTTATTTTTTTTTTTTCATTTTGTTTTTGTTTGCTTTGGTTTTAAAAACAAGGGAATCATTTTTCACTTGCATCAGCTGGTGACCAAATAATGGGTTTCATGAAGGAGTGGTTTACTGCCCTTAATGCCATTGGGAGCATATATAGAACCAAATGTCCTATTATAGTTGTTTGCCTTTAGGTCATTCAAAACTATCTATAATATGAATGGCAATGAGATATTGTGCATTCTTTTTCCTTTTTTCTTTTTCTTTTGTTTTTTTTTTTTTTTTTCGCTAAGGCATATATAGCACTTACGTAACACCCATATTCTTAAATTCTTAAAAATAAGTGTACTGCAAATTGATTAAAGCATATTTCATTAAGTTTAAAAATTAGGTGAATAAAAAGAAAAAAATGATAATTTAAACTAAATTGAAGTAATTATTCTATTTTCAAATAATTCTCACAATTTGAGAAAATACGCATATTTTCTAAATACTTGTTATATATAGTAAAATTATTTTTTTTGTTATAATAATAGAAAAAATGGTGGAAGAATAAAGGTAAGAAATAGAGATAGAAGTCTTCTATTGAAATGAGAAGGCTATGAATATATTTCCTCAACAGCGAGTGATACCCCTAGATTAAGAAAAATAAGGTTGTACAACTAAAATAAGAATATAAGACTTTTAGCCTATTAAAGAGATAATCCACTAATTTAATAATGTTTTTCATTTTTAGCCTTTATATATGACCAAACAGTGATTGAATGATTTTTATTCAAATAATAAAATTAAGGGATCCGAATAGTAAATTCATCTAATAATTTTATTATAATTCATTGGTAAATTTAGACAAATTAAACAATTTTCTTAGGACATGAAATATCCCATATGTTATAGTATTTAGAACGGAATAAAAAAACCCTCATAATAAAAAAGGTTAGAGTGACCTTTGGACTAAATTTAGCCCTTGAACCTTGTATAGAATAATTAAAAAAGATCCGATTGTCACTTTTTAGGCCAATTTAACCGCTTTTAACTTGTTTTGAAATTTTTATAAATTCAATAATTAATTTAATTTAACAAGATTGACTTTTTTATCATTTTTTGGTCTACACTAAAGAGCCACTCAAGATCAGACTTTTTTCAAAAACTTATGATATAAATTAAAATCACTATATATTTCTTATAATATAATATTATTTGCGCCTTTTTTTTTTTCAGGGTGCTAGATTTTCATAAGCAATAACCTAGTAATAGAGATTAATTTTTTTTTTATTTAATACATAATATAAACTCAAAAACATGCAATCGGAATAAAAGAGATAACAATATAATTTAATATATATCATTCTGCCTATAATCTTATAATTAATTAATTTTTCAACAAATTGTCATTCCGATTCTCTTCAGTTTTAATAAATGTTTTAGTGTAATGATTTATTGTTGTTTGAATTAGAGTTAAATTGACTCAAATTTTTTTTTTTTAATCATTATAAGTTCAGGTGTTAAATTGATTTTTAAAAGTGAAATAAGATCCTTTTTAATCATTTTATTACCAGTTCATGGGACTAAAATTAGCTCAAATGTCAAATCTGCTTTTTTTTTTGACTAAACAAGTTAAGCCGACTAAATTGGCAATTTATTTCAATTCAAAAACAAAAAGAGTACTAAATTTTCCTAAGAAACGAATAAATAATTAATTATTAAAAAAAAAATCAAAAACTATTTATATGTTTTTTAAGGGAAGTGCATTATAACTTTTATGTTCTGTATCCAAAAGAGAGTGATTCTACCAAAAAACAATTGTTGCAGAGTTTTCTTTCTTTTTCTTTTTTTTTTTAAGATCATCATAAGACTAAAAAACAATAATTAACTTGGATTTTCTCCTAAAATTAATTCTTACTAATTAAAATTCAAATGGCGACTCACCCTAATTATATCGGTATACATGATACTTTCTCAATTATTGTGCCTCGACGCCTTGTTCTTGGCAGTAGAATCCTTCCACTACCATCCCATTATAAGTAAAATTAAATGACA